ATGACGTCATCGTCATTACATAGCGAGAGAGATAGCGATATATACCCACTCAGACGCGTTCTTCAACACATATTTTAAAGCTTACATCATTTTACAAGGATTTTACAAAAAAGTTTCTGTTCATTGCTGATGCGAACCTTTACTTTTAAAGTGCAGAATTAAACCCGGAAAAATATTTTTTAAACTCAATGGGTAGAGGGGCAGAATGGTAAATGGACCTATACACGTCACATTAACATTGTGCCGATCGAAGAGCTGGAAGTTTCAATCGGATCTTTGTAACCGGAAATCATGAAAAAATCACGACATGCTTACCCATACATAAAGGGCTTGGGAGTCCTGGGATACTAAAATACAAAGAAGCGTTCAAAGTTCTGCAAATTGTAGCTAGATTAACTTCAGAATCGAAGACTTATACACGAATAAAATATAAGTTTATTGGACACAAATGTACGTCAGACAACGCAAATAATCGATTCATACACATACGAGATACAAAGTCGAAGGTAGTGGCCCTAATCTCAAAGCTAATCTATTTGGATCCCCAGGCAGGCACGAGCCGATAATGTTTTAAGATTACGCAATTATCGCTAATAGCTCTGCGGAAAATTACAGCAATCTCCGTATTCAAGTCTCATTCATTTCATAAATACTGTTATTTAAGTGATTCTAAGCGCGATTTTTTTGTTTTAAGGAGGTTCTGATATTTTGTCGGTTTTGCAACATTCTTAGTCGTTGGCACTCTTGGCGGAGTGGTTGTGATCATCAGTTCGGGTAGTGGGGCGCTTCACTTTTTTATCCTACCTATGCTGATAGCCTTGAGAGGCTATTTCAGCTTCACTCTAACGGGCGGTTCACAAGACATCGCCATTCTTCGCATACCGTGGCCCTATCATGCCCTGCACCACAAGGCCCTCCACTGAGTCGTCACACCGTCGCCACACATGTCCAAAAAAATGTTTAAATGCTACCCTGAACGATAGGGGATAGACACTACTTGATTCCGAGTTCCTGTAGAACTGATTCGTTCTGAACTCCGTCCACGATATTTGCAGCATTCTTCTCTGACGCCATACTTTGAGAGCATCTATACTCTTTTTCTCATAATGTCCAGTGTACTTAGTGCGAGTTTTTTAACGTTCTCGATAGCGTAAAAACTAACTCAAATATGTATGCAATTGGAACCGCGCAAACGGCAAACGTTCCAACCCTATACTTTGAGTTAACTTTTACGCTATCGAGAACGTTAAAACTCGCACTAAGCACACAGGTCTCTCTTTTTTCTTTTTTTTATTGCTTAGATGGGTGAACGAGCTCACAGCCCACCTGGCTTTAAGTGGTTACTAGAGCCCATAGACGTCTACGACGTAAATGCGCCACACACCTTGAGATATCAGTTCTAAGATCTCAAGTATAGTTACAACGGCTGCCCCACCCTTCAAACCGAATCGCATTACTGCTTCACGACAGATATATGCAGGGTGGTGGTACCTACCCGCGCGGACTCACAAGAGGTCCTACAACCAGTAAGTGTCAGCAGCGTAAATAAAAATGAGGAAGACAAGCGCTTTTAGAATTATAATTTTGGTTTGCAAAATACTGACAGTTTAAATTATACATATACAGTCAAAACCGTTTACTGCGACATCGTTTAATACAACATGCCGGTTATAATAACCAAGAACAAAGGTCCCGGCTGAATGCCATATGACCGCCTTATTAAAAATATTGCTTTCTACGACATTGGTAATAACGACATACCTCATAAAACGACCACATTTAACTAATATTTCGGAGAATTAGATCTGTTAGAACNGGTAACAAAATAAGAATATTTCTCCGCCCTTGGTATATTTCTACACATTTCTCTACTTTATTACATATTAAACCTCAGAACAAACCTCATATTCAAAATCTTTAGACACCTATCTACAAATGAAAACAAAAAAAATGCTTTAGTTTAACATTTTTATTTTAGTACATTATTTTATTGGTGGTGCATTTATTTTGAGAAATGCTCATATATCTATACTATAAAACGATATGGGTAAGAGGGGAGTGACCGAAGAAGGTATATGATAGAAGAGTATGGATGAATGGATGATGATATTTTATACTATAACATCGAGAGGTGAAAGGGTATTTGGATTAAACGACCTTTATCTTTGTAATTAACGGTCCGTTTCATTTTGTATCAGCATCAACAGTTCGATGTTTTTAATTGAACTTCAATAAAGGTTAATCCGTTCAAATACCTAAAGAGTTTTTTTTTTATGATTTTTTTTTCTTAATTTTAATCTTTTTAATGGCTCTTCTGTATAGTTGCAAAAACGTTTTTTTTTTTTTTTTTTGCTTAGATGGGTGGACGAGCTCACAGCCCACCTGGTGTTAAGTGGTTACTGGAGCCCATAAACATCTACAACGTAAATGCGCTACCCACTTTGAGATATAAGTTCTAAGGTCTCAGTGTAGTTACAACGGCTACCTCGCCCTTCAGACCGAAACTCATTACTGCTTCACGGCAGAAATAGACAGGATGGTGGTACTTACTCGCGCGAGGTACTTACTCACAAGAGGTCCTACCACCAGTAAGCTTAACCACTTAACTCAACTTCAACTTTCACCCGTCGAATATTAAATTAATTTCCTTCAAAGATTATTATTCTCGGCTCAGTTCTCATTGGTTCGGGAAGAGATCTGTTCTCGCCAAGCCAAACATAATCAAAGTTCACACATCATAATCTGAACTAGATTTCATAATGTCTAATCATGCTTTATTATTTGCAATAAATATTTATTAGCGTATTAATTTATATTGCAATTTAACATATTTTTCTGCTATCTGTACAGGTCGAGTAATACGGGCGTAAAAGGTCATATAACATTAAAAATAATGACTTTTTTGTTTTTGACGACATTACCCAAAAAAAAATATTTTTAATTATAACTACATATCTCTAATTCGGGTTATTTGGGTCTGTCGCCGCGCGATAAACCCGATAAATATGGGCTTTTAATTAATAAATCTTCTTTTTATTATTATTAAATAGCCAATGTAGACACATGGCCAAGCCGCTCGCTATCCACTGACGAAGATGGCGTGTTCATAGAAAACATTTAGACCACAGAAACATCTAGAAATGATGTTCTACCTATAATCATATTGCTCAAAAGTCGATGGTACGAATTAACGATATCAACATACGACTTTTCAGCGTGGACGCTAAACCTTTTGGCTAATCCCATGGACTTTAAAAGATGAAGTATCAATGGAATCGGCTTCCTTTGCGGTTAAAACAGAAATGAGGGTATGCAACCATGCATACAATGTGCCTTACAACAGATTCGCGATTACACTTTACATTACGCGGGCGCCGACTTCTGCCTAGCGATTGGACCAAAAGTGGCTTACACTCTTTTCCGCAAGGTTTAAGCTATTTCCATACCGAATTTCGTCAAAATCGTTTTTTTTCTCGACCTATTCGAGTAATCTCGAGGGGTTATACTAGATTCGCAGAACGAGTGGGTGAGCTCACGGGGCTCAAACCTGACGTCGTTGTTAACACTAAACCTAGCAAGAGCAGTGCTTCGCAGGATCGATAACCGGATCAGAAACGTGACCCACTTAGAAGTTCCGGCGAGAAACTCAGCGGGCTGTGTCTGTGGGTTAATTTACTCGCCGAGCCTTTCGTTGCAAGCGACGGGTTCGACGAGAACGATGAGCGGGGCTTGAGGTATTTAAAAGCACCGTTAGTGAACGGGGAAGATACGTGATGACGCAGTTTGGGCGACGTCGACTCTTTACCATTCAGTCCACAGGATCAGCAATGTGGTTACCGGCCGCCACAATGAAAGGGTTCTCGTGTCGTGTTGCTTTGTCGAAATGGCGTCGAGCGATAGTGACGCACGACAGACCCAAGCGTTAATTTATCGAAAAAAATGGTAATATTCAATCAACCCCTTCTTTGTATTACACAAAATAATGATAATTCAGTGATAATAATTAAATTCAATTATAAATTCGTATGTAATTTTTCATAAATATTTCTTAATAACGTTATCACGTAAAATTATTGTCCATAAACCGATTTTACAGAAAACCAATTATTTTATGAATTTATTGCATGAGAGACGATATGTGTAAGAGGGGAGTGAGCGAAGAAATGGTATATGATAGAGGAGTATGGAAGGAGAAAACATGTTGCGCCGACCCCACGTGACTGGGAGAATGGCAGGAGAATGATGATGATGTGAATTTGGAGAAGTTAACGCTTTTCCTGTCGCAAAACAATGGCTAGTTATCAATATAATGTTTGTGTTGGTTGTATTGTTGCCTACTTAAGTGGATACCGTTTTTTTTTTCTGGAACTCTTAATTTTATTTTTATTTGAAATTTTTAATTGTAATTTGTAATTTTGTTTTCAATAGCTAAAGCTATGTACATTAATACGGGTTTGCTAAGTGCATATACCGTTTAGATTGCAATCCAGATTAGATCTAGGTACTGCTTGTACGATTTAATTAATATGTACTGTAATGATTGTAATTCAAATTGTACATACATTAATTAAAAAAAAAAAACACGTGTGGCACTCGGGGACTGCCGCGATAAAGCTATAAATAGCTTAACGCAATAAATTGCATAGCATTTTTTATCAGCTTATGCAATTATAATTAGTCAATGATAACTTAATATTAAAACAATAATAAAATAAGACCACGCTATATTTATAAACATTAACAAAAGCAAAACGTTAACTGTCCCCTTCACACTCATAAGCAAGACCGCGCCCGAGAGAAAGATGGGCAGCCTTTTCATGATGCGCATGCAGAGCGACATCACGCCGCGCGCTTATTCACAAACACTACACAAGCGCAGCGTGTGAATGTGTGGAACGTGACCTACATGGTAGGCGGAGTGTCAGGTTTTATTTTCGTTACGGAATTTCTTGATTCGGTCGTCGCGCTCAAAAGCTATGCAATAGCTTAAAAAATCTCACCGGTATGTACTCTTCGATCCTCCCGCCGGAGAAGACTCCGTGGAGCTTCGGGCCCAGCCTCCTCTCGGAGAGGAGAGTGAATATGACAGATTCCGTGACGATAGCGTCCATGGCCCTCTCGCCGTGGACCTGGCCGTATATCCTGAGCAATACCTGCGGCAGAATTCGTACAGTTTATTAACCATTACACTTGATGATCACACATGATATCACACTATGGTATAGAGGCTGTTTTTTTCTTCTTTTCGAAATAAATGAATGGTAAAATTGTGATAGATGGCATCGTTTGGTATTTGAAAATCAAAAATTAAAACGTTTAAATAGTTTAAGTGAGAACTGGATAAGTGAGAGTAATAGCCAGGACCCGTCATTTAAGCTCCCAAAACCTCTATTAGCGAGAAACAGAAACCTCTGTAAGAGAGAGTCGTTTTTCCCTCAAGGACCTCCGTAAGTGAGACTGCTACCTATCTATACCTCTATAAGCGACAGCCGAACTTTATTTATTTAAGAGGAACAAATGACAAAAAAAATACAAATTTAACATCTGCTATTTTATGACTCATTCTTAACTTTCGTGGAACTTCCTATCATTGTTTTTGTATTGTTTTCTCGTCAATATTGAACCGGTTCTATTTCGTGGAACTAAATAACGTTGTTATTTTATCGCATTCTTTTCGAATGGACACGTGTGCCTGTGTACTGTCCTGTTTGTCAGACTTACTCAGTTTATCGTTAATCAATTGCGAAGGAAAGTTCTGTTCTGCATCATGTAAAAACGAAAAATTAAAGTACTGTCATTAAAGTCATAAATTTAAAATAGTGAATGCATTTGAATCCGGAAAATCGCGAAACGAAATTCAGAGAGAGCATTAGCGAGAAACTCGGGTTAGTGAGAAATCTCTATAAGCGAGAATGAGATTGTGCTCCCTTGAACTCTCGCTTATCCAGGTTTGACTGTATATGATAATAATGTCAGGTGAGATGTTATAAACCTTATTACTAGTGTATAGTAAAGGTGAAAGGCTATTTCGTTTAAGCGACATTTTTGCAACTTTACAGTAGAACTGTTTAAAGTTTAAGCATTTAGAAAAAATGTCATAACAAAAAACCTTTTCAGCTATTTGAATGAAGTAAGCTTAATTGAAGTTTAATTAAAAATATCGAACTATTTATGCTGATACCAAATAAAACGGACTTTTAATTTCAAAGATAAATTTCGCGTGTTAAGCGAAATGTAGCTTAAACAAAATAGACTTTTCTCTGACTGATCTGATGGCCTCAAGGGGCCATTTTAGCGTAACCCTAAAAAGTAGGTGAGCTCACAAGGCTCTAACTTGACGAAGTTGCTAACACTGGCCCTAGCAAGGGCAGTGCTTCCCAGAATCTACCACCGGATCGGAAACGCGACCCACTGAGAAGATCCGGCGAGAAACTCAACGGGTTGTGTCTGTGGGTTAGTTTACTCGCCTAGCACTTCGTCGCAAGCGACGGGCTCGACGAGAACGATGACCGGCAAATAACCTTTCACCCCTCGATATGTATTAATATGGATCGTTACATAAATTCGTTTATATATGGATACCGTCTGTTTTGAATTTAGATATGTTTAGGACTGAGAAAAGGATAAGTTTTAGGACTCACACCGTGGTTCGTTGATGCACTATTCAATTTTCTCACTGGCGAGAGTTGTATGTGCTGATTGATCAACAAATCACAATTTTATCGTTTTTGCACCGGCACCATGTTTTTAGTTTTTTACACACTCTCTTCGCGCCATTTTCACACGCGTATTTTTTATTATAGTGTCAACAGATGGCGTGGATAGGAGATTGAGGAAGAAATAAGGAAAAGGAAGTTCCAACACCGTCTGCGAGAGTCCTACCTTGGACGGATCAACGGATAGATGCGGCAAACAACAAAAATACCATAATCACCTTCTTTGGTTCCTCGATGCTGAACGAATTCGATCTGGCCATCGATTTCTTGACTAGCTTACTGGCCACCGTCTCAAGTTCGGTTTCCGGTGAGCTTTCGCGTTTCGTGAACGTGCAGAGCTTCGACGGGTCTTCCGGAAGCGCCACGTAGTACAGGAAATTCGAGAGACCGCCGCTGCACAAGGTGAGACCGTGTCGTTAAGTTTAATGTTTCGGGTTCAGGACAATAGTCTCAATATCCGCCTATTTTTAATACGCTTTTATTAGCTTCAGACGTATGTATGTTTGTAACGGAATCTTTGAACATGATTTTGACCCCCTTCAAAACGTTGGATTAACTCGAAATTTGGTATACTTATTAAGGACCGATGACAATACAATATTAAAAAAATATATTGAAAAAGTTGAAATTCAGCTAAAAAATTAAAAATAAATAATAGTTTAAAAAAACTAACAAAATACGCTTTTATAGAAAATCCAACTAAAAAATAGGAAATAAATTTTAATAAATTTGAATTAAAAATAAGTAAGTAAGTAAGAAAAAATGATTTTATTGTAAAAAAAGCGTGGGTTGATTTTCAGGATATTATTAAAACAACCCTTCTACTCATATCTGTTCATAAAATATTTATAACTACTGATACCATGCACCCCACGCTTTTTTTTTTCTTACACTATTTTTAATTCAAATTTATTAAAACTTATTTTCTATTTTAGTTGTATTTTCTATAAAAGCGTATTTTGTTAGTTTTTTTCACACTATTATTTAACTAAGAAATAGTTGAATTTAAATTTTTTTTTTTTTTTTAAATATTGAATTGTCACCGGTCCTTAATAAGTATACCAAAATTTCGAGTTAATCCGACGTTGTGAAGGGGGTCAAAATCATGTTCAAAAATTCCGTTACATACTAACAACATACATACGTCTGAAGCTAATAAAAACGTATTAAAAACATATCGACGCTTGAAAGACAAACGTGACTAAGCGACAATAACTGCTTTGTACATAAATGATAGGCAATAACCCTATTCGATGCGCAAAAAAATATATTTCTAGGTCTATTAAAACCATTTCAATCCTACAGCTACTAGCTAGATTCTACTACAGCTAGATTCGTTAAAATAAATTTTGTTTTCAGGTACTTCAACTTTAAATTAGTCTACTGTAAAGTTCACGCATTGTCGCTTAGTCACGTTTGCCTTTCAAGCGTCGATATTATACGAAGAGTGTATAGCCAACGTCGCCAGTATCAATAGTCACTTTATGAGCGGTAATTATTCTAAGTAATGATTACGAAATTAATTATCGGTAAACTTTGTTTATTTACTGATAATGCGGTTCGTTGTAGTTTTCCGGCGACCTCGATCGTCCCATTCATGTTCAAACGCTTCAGTTACGTACCGAGTGGAATGTTTTGAAATCTTCTTATTTTTTCTCCACCTCATCCCACTAGGTGGGGTCGGCACAGCTATTTTTTTTTCTTCTTCTTTTATCAGCCGTCATCTCAACACTCACTCCTCTCTTTCTCTCATATCGTTTTTCACACACTCCTTCCATGTCTTCTTGGGTCGACCTCTTCCCCCTCTACCTTGCGTAGTGCAAGGTAGAGTGCATTTCCATACATCTCCTAGTCACATGCATCTTCTCTCTACGCGTCACCTGCCCGTACCACGTTACTGGTGGTAGGACCTCTTGTGAGTGTTATCACCGACCTGCCTATCTCTGCCGTGAAGCAGCAATGCGTTTCGGTTTGAAGGGTGGAGCAGCCGTTGTAACTATACTGAGACCTTAGAACTTATATCTCAAGGTGGGTGGCGCATTTATGTTTTAGATGTCTATGAGCTCTAGTAACCACTTAACACCAGGTGGGCTGTGAGCTCGTCCATCCATCTAAGCAATAAATAAAAAAAAAGATACCTGATCCTCCTAAACTCCAATTCAGTTGGATCCACGCTCTTCCACGCTCCGTGCAGGTAGTTCCTGCAGATTCGGGCGGCGACTTCTCGCATTTCCGTTTCCGTGCCGCACATTTGCAGTTTCTAGAACAATCCATATAAGGTAAATCGATTGGATAGTATACACCTATCTTATTATTACGAATACTTGGATTTTGAAATATGAATGCAAGAGGTGGCAAATTTTTTTTCCTACCTAAGCTGATAGCCTTGAGAGGCTATTTCAGCGTAACCTTAACTAGTAGGTGAGCTCACGGGGCTCAAACCTGACGACGTTGCTAACACGAAACCTAGCAAGAGCCGTGCTTCGCAGAATCTACCACCGGATCGGAAACGCGACCCACTGAGAAGGTCCGGCGAGAAACTCAGTGGGCTAATTTACTCGCCGAGCGCTTCGTCGCAAGCGACGGGTTCGACGAGAACGATAACCGGTGCTTGGGGTACCTAAAAGCACCGTTAGTGGATCGGGAGAATCCGAAATGGCGTGTTTTAGGCGACATCGACTGTTTATCATTTGGTCCGCAGGATCGGCTATGTAGTTTCCGGCGGCCACGATGAGAGGATTCTCATGACGTGCCGCTTTATCTAAGTGGTTATGCCCCTTAAACTACCCCCTCTACCAATCTTCCTTACCCTCTCACGGGTAGACGCAATGTCTTACTCTTCGATGAATCTCTTTTTTAAACACACCCATTTTTATTCCCGACCGCGTTCATATCATTGTATCGCCTACCATCTCGTCCCAATTTCCTACGCATGTTAATTCATCCCTCTTCATATCCAGCCCACGCTTATCTTTTTTATCAATCTTCGGCCGATGTCAACTAATCACAATTTTACTGGTGGTAGGACCTTTTGTGAGTCCGCGCGGGTAGGTACCACCACCCTGCTTATTTTTGCCGTGAAGCAGTAATGCGTATCGGTTTGAAGGGTGGGGCAGCCGTTGTAACCATACCGAGAGCTTAGAACTTATATCTCAAGGCGTGTGGCCCATTTACGTTGTAGATGTCTATGGGCTCCAGTAACCACTTAACACCAGGTGGGCTGTGAGTTCATCCACCCATCTTAGTAATAAAAAATAAAAATCAAGAATCCGGTACTAATCCACGTAGTTACACATATAGGCTGTTTCAGTCACAAAACACGTTTAATACGACGATTAGATTAGTATATTTTTATCGTAATAAACGGATTGATTTTAAACAACGGTGCATTGACCTTGCATTATTGCATAGCACGTATGCAGAGGGATCTACCTTATCTGGGCGATAATAAGGCCGAAACAATTAAGTTCTAGATAGACCTATCAAATCCGCTATCAAGACATAATCGCGGCTCGCTTTGACAAGTAATGATAAGCGGATTATCTCTGGTAATTACAGTGTTATTACCCGTAGTGTATTTAGTGATTGCTAGATTGCAAAGTGTGTAAATTCCAGACAAGGTTTTGTTAATTGACTATTAGCGTTCAAGACTTCAGCGAAAACATGACAGCGAAAATTTGCAGCTACCATCTTGAGCAGTTACATCTTCAAAGGAGCCGTGGACTAATTCTTCTAAGATCATTATTACCACAACTAGCGACCCGCCCTCGCTTCGCTTCGGAAACATTAAAACACACATGAAACCAAAAAAAATAAAATAAAAAAAGTAGCCTATGTTCATCAGGGACAATGTCGGCTTCTAATGGAAAAAGAATTTTTCAAATCGGTCCAGTAGTTTCAGAGCCTATTCGAAACAAACAAACAAACAAATCTTTCCTCTTTATAATATTAGTATAGATATAGAAGTATAGATGTTTTCTTATGCAAAATTTGTACGCTCAGAAAGCGAGTAATTTAAAAACCTTTGAAAACTTACGATACAGATTTAAAAAAAAAACTGCATCTTTATGACGTCATCGTCATTACATAGCGAGAGAGATAGCGATATATACCCACTCAGACGCGTTCTTCAACACATATTTTAAAGCTTACATCATTTTACAAGGATTTTCGATTACAAAAAGGTTTCTGTTCATTGCTGATGCGAACCTTTACTTTTAAAGTGCAGAATTAAACACGGAAAAATATTATTTGAACTCAATGGGTAGGTAAATGGACCTATAGACGTCACATTAACATTGTGCCGATCAAAGAGGTGGAAGTTTCAGTCGGATCTTTGTAACCGAAAATCATGAAAACATCACGACATACTTACCCATACATAAAGGGCTTGGGAGTTCAGGGATACTAAAATACAAAGAAGCGTTCAAAATTCTGCAAATTGTAGCTAGATTAGGTAACTTCAGAATCGAAGACTTATACACGAATAAAATAGAAGTTTATTGGACACAAATGTACGTCAGACAACGCAAATAATCGATTCATACACATACGAGATACAAAGTCGAAGGTAGTGGCCCTAATCTCAAAGCTAACCTATTTGGATCCCCAGGCAGGCACGAGCCGATAATGTTTTAAGATTACGCAATTATCGCTAATAGCTCTGCGGAAAATTACAGCAATCTCCGTATTCAAGTCTCATTCATTTCATAAATACTGTTATTTAAGTGATTCTAAGCGCGATTTTTTTGTTTTAAGGAGGTTCTGATATTTTGTCGGTTTTGCAACATTCTTAGTCGTTGGCACTCTTGGCGGAGTGGTTGTGATCATTAGTTCGGGTAGTGGGGCGCTTCACTTTTTTTCTTACCTATGCTGATAGCCTTGAGAGGCTATTTCAGCTTCACGCTAACGGGCGGTTCACAAGACGTCGCCATTCCTCGCATACCGTGGCCCTTCTTGTGCACTCACTCGTTGATGGGACCGTTTAGAGCTGCCTTTATTTGGTTGGTCCAAAACGGTGATCTGCCGCGCGGTCTTGTACCGTCAATCATGCATTGTACCACAAGGCCCTCCACTGAGTCGTCATACATGTCCGAAAAAAGTGATAATGCTACCCTGAACGATAGGGGATAGACAATGGTTGATTCCGAGTTCCTGTAGAATTGATTCGTTCTGAACTCCGTCCACGATATTTGCAACATTCTTCTCTGACGCCATACTTTGAGAACATCTATACTCTTTTTCTCATAATGTCCAGTGTACTTAGTGCGAGTTTTTTAACGTTCTCGATAGCGTAAAAGTTAACTCATAGTATAGAGTCGGAACGTTTGCCTACGTTTGCGCGGTTCCAATTGCATATAAATTTGAGTTAACTTTTACGCTATCGAGAACGTTAAAACTCGCACTAAGCACACAGGTCTCTTTTTTCTTTTTTTTTATTGCTTAGATGGGTGAACGAGCTCACAGCCCACCTGGCGTCAAGCGGTTACTAGAGCCCATAGACATCTTTGAAGTAAATGCGCCACATACCTTGAGATATAAGTTCTAAGATCTCAAGTATAGTTAAAACGGCTGCCCCACCCTTCAAACCGAATCGCATTACTGCTTCACGACAGATATACGCAGGGTGGTAGTACCTACCCGCGCGGACTCACAAGAGGTCCTACAACCAGTAAGTCTCAGCAGCGTAAATAAAAATGAGGAAGACAAGCGCTTTTAGAATTATAATTTTGGTTTGCAAAATACTGACAGTTTAAATTATACATATATGCCTAAATAAAGATAAACTAAGGTCATATTTAAAAATGCGCCCATATCTGCGAAAGTCTGATGCTAAAAGGGTCAATAACCCAAGATACTCACTCATGCTGTTATTTTATTACTTGTGACGTCATTCGTGGCCAATAAAGAGACGAGTTAACCATAGATTAACGATGAGACATTCGAAGCTGATTTCGGCAACAGCTAACTGTTTTTGCTGATGGACGCTCACGATGCTTATATTTTCACTGCACCGTAGAATATATCCTAACAATTATTACCTAACCCTATTTATTGGGTTGGGTTACATTTTGATTATGATGGATCAACATTAAAATTTTGTATATTTTTAAGATTGTAGTGTTATTGCCATCCGTTTGCCTATCAAGATCAGATGACGTGCGGGATCAACGCCCCCCCCCCCCATTGACGCTGGAGGCGGCGTTGCGGGTCGATTTTGTTTTCAATGCGTTCGAGAAATACGACCTAAAAATACTTATGATACTTAAATTAGCAAGTCCATATCGCGCATCTTAAATTCGGTTACATTTGAACAGAAACCTAAAACTGGACTTCTTTTAAGGATTAAGTGAGATGCACAAAACGTAGAATTCACATATAAGTTTTTTTTTTATTGCTTAGATGGGTGGACGAGCTCACAGCCCACCTGGTGTTAAGTGGTTACCGGAGTCCATAGACATCTACAACGTAAATGCGCCACACACCTTGAGATATAGTTCTAAGGTCTCAGTATAGTCACAACGGCTGCCCCACCCTTCAAATCGAAACGCATTACTGCTTCACTGAATTGTGCTCGATACAAGAATAAATGTTAAGTAAAATCTATAAAATTACTTATTTTCAAAACTCCCGGAAGCACTTTTCCGATAAAACTATGAGCTGCCCTCTACGGTGTTTCCCGAGCGCTATGACATGTCCTTCTTCTAACGAGGCTTGTGGAGAGTCTGTGTAGTCTCTCGCGCCGTCTAGCTTATGAGTGTGAAGGGAACAGTTAATTTTTCGCTTTTATAAATATAGCGTGGTCTTATTTTATTATTATTTTAAAATTAAATTATTATTGTCTAATTATAATTGCATAAGTTGATAAAAAATGCTATGCAATAGCTTTACCGCGGTAGTCCCCGAATGCCACACGTGTTTTTTTTAAATGATTTCTCCGTATGATGTATTACCGCAAAGGAAATATAAATGTCATCATTGAAGTTGTTTGACAATTCATTTTAATGACTAACACCATTGTATGCACTCATCAGTTCAATTAAAGGTGAGACGCATTAATGAAGATGGACATCAATAAATAATAATTGTCCAGTTCTTAATGAACCTTAACAAATGTACTTTGAAAAATATAACTGTTTTAATTGATGCACTCCATTTGTTTATTAAGCATAAGTGCTATTTATGATGATTTTTATAGCTGACCCTACAGACTTCGTAGTGCCTCAATCGATAAACAAAAGACCTAAACTTTTGTATAAAATAAACTTAAAACAAACAAAGAATCCGTCCGACGGGGGGGACATCAAAGGAAAAACAAAATTGTTATTTTTATTTAATTCCGGGCATTTTCATATTTATCTACCTTTTAAACCTTCTCTGGACTTCCACAAACAATTCAAGACCAAAATTAGCGAAATCGGTCCATCGGTTCTCGAGTTTTAGCGAGACTAACGAACAGCAATATTTTTTTTTTTTAATTTTTTTTTTAAATTTTTTTTTATTATTGGTTATATTGAAGGACGAGCTCACAGCCCACCTGGTGTTAAGTGGTTACTGGAGCCCATAGACATCCACAACGTAAATGCGCCACCCACCTTGAGATATAAGTTCTAAGGTCTCAAGTAAGTTACAACGGCTGCCCCACCCTTCAAACCGAAACGCATTACTGCTCCGGTAAACACTTAAGACCCGATGGGCTGTGAGCTCATCCACCAATTAAAGCAATAAAAAAAAATATAAGCTCTAGTAACCACTTAACGTACAAAGGGTCTTCAGCTGTTTCAGCCATCTATGCCATAAAAACCAAGTGTTATATAGTAGATTATGTAACTGATGAACTAAGCAATCTGATATATCAGAAGTAAATACACTGGTTAACTGGTCGAACATAAGTCACTAACGAAAGAATCTCATATGGTAGCATTTTCTTCGGTTTTCGAGAGTTATACACACAATTAACACTGTTGTTATAGTCTAAATAAAAATTTTTGGTCTCCGATATTGAAAATACTTCAGTTTCATCACCCCTAGACAGACGACACTCCGTCGTGTATTAAACAGATCCAAATAGTCGATTTATATATTCTTATCTAACTTCCTGCCCCTTAAATTTTTTTAATTACTGAGGGCGTATTTAAAAAAAATAATGATTACCAAATCACCACAATGTGAGAACGTTGCCTTCAGATCATTTCAATAATCCATCTACGTTTGTTCCAATGGATCTTTGGGCTGTGGCTATTTCTTGTTTCGACAGTAAGTGAACTAAGCGGTTATTTGCTCATTCTACAAATATGTTATAATTTTTGTGATTTAAATTTCATACATATATAGATTATCCTCATGTGAAATGTGTAGGTAAGGATGGTGAACATGCATAGTCGACAACTTCCTGCCTCATTCTATGCTGTTTGGTCACTCACTAATATCTACAAACCACTTAGAACCTGGCGATTAAGCCATTACATAATCAATCTACCACAAAAAAATTATTGTACGGCCAATGATGCCAATGCCAAAATTAGTATCAAAATACTATTTTACTGTAGAAAAAGAGACACTGTTCTTTAATTACATTTATTTATTGTTTCCTTGACTATTCAAATAACGAGGAAGATGTGAAATGATTGCAAAACAAACAGAGCATTTTTATCATTCCAACATTTGCAAGGTTAGTTTTCATGAATTATTTGTCATTTTTAGATATTTTTGAGGGTCGAACGTTTTGTTAATTATCTTTAGAGTTAACTTTAGTGCAGAAATGCTAACAGCGTATGTAATGTTAAGTGTATACCAAAGACCATACATAAACTTCTCAATGTAAATATCGCCACCCGCCGTGAAAGATGCGGTTATAAGTTATATTTTATTACAAACGAATATCAAGCCCTTTAAACTATATCGCGTATTTGTTCGCGGTATCTGAAATTCATAGTACCTAAGGCAATTTTTTTTCTGCTGCTTTATGTTCAACATCGTTAAGTAACAAGACGATTCCTACAGAAAATCGCTGTTGTCCACACACAAATGAGCAACATAAACTTATTATAACACAAATTATCGTATAAGCTTAGAATTTTTAAAGAATTTATAAAAAGAATATTCCATAACACAAAACCTACCGCACAACTGTTCCGATTCAACTTCAAAAATATTTTATACGTCTTTCGTACATTCATTAACAACCTTTTAATCGAGTAAAACATATTTAGTATCTTTTGATAAGAAGAAAAATAAAGTAGTACGAAATTTGAACTTGCACTAATTTTATTGGTCACATTCCAACTTCCAACACCTAAATGTAGGTAAGAAAGTCACGTTATCGATTTTTGACGGATTGCATTGGACAGATATAATGTTGCCGGTTAAAAAAATGTCAGATCTTTCCGAATTTTTAGGAAAGTCCTTTTTAACGTATCTTATTTTTTACTTTTAAATGTATTTTTGATGAGGATTTTTTAATGTTTATTATTTTTCGGAAAAAGTAAATTAATCAATTTATTGTAGAAAAAGATCATGAGAATGATAGTGAAATAAGCTTTAGTTTTCATTTCTTTTTACATTTTTAGATTTAGTAGTCATTTGAATTGCATAATTAAATTGCTGGGGAATCAGGCTATGTTTCTTTATAGATACAAGTCAATACAAATATCTTAATTTCGTTAATGTATTTAAAAATAATTTACACGTCGATTGTAAATTTATCTTTCAGCTTTAATACGGTGAACATAAGGTCAGATTAACTCCGAACCGAAATAATTATCAGTAGCAAAAACGTTTTATTGAATGAGTTTGTTATTAATTGTAGTATCATAACTTATTTAGTCACCTATCTCCCATTAGAAACTAACTAACGAGAAACGAATTAATTTCATGATTTCAATAATACTGTATGCTTTTAATTGCACTTTAGAAATTTCCAGATGCAGTCTTGCATAATCATTTGTTTATATTTGCCATGTAGTTATTTTGTAGTTTTTAAAATTAAATACATTTTTGAACGTACGACCGTGTTAGATATTTTCAAAAATATACCTATTTGTTGTTTTGTTAAATTATGGTATCACAATTATGTCTAATATTCTTAGTTAATACATACTTCTTTGTTAATTATAGTTTAAAAACTCTTTTACTATACTAACATATTCACGGTGTGTGCATACAATGTATTCGAGCCCAGTTTATTATCTTTCTACGGAACGACGTCACTCGTCATACGATGTTGAAAAAAAACGCTTTTATTTCTATTTCAGAACGCAAATCGCAACGGGACACAAAAACAATCCCGTTAAATAAATTACCTTTGCCATTTTCACGTATTAGTCTTCTTTTTATTCAGTAAATAGCTTTTATTTCTTGATTTTCCTTTTTAAACAAAACACAATGTCAATACACGTTGGACGAGTCTGCTATGCGCAAGCTAAAAATATGTACTGAAGTGAGCTGACTCGCGTTTGTTGAGTGGACCATGTGAAAATTCGATAAGGCTACAATGCTGACTTGTATGCGAGTGCGAAAGAGAGAAAGCATACGACAAAGTCCGAGTGCGAGCTGAACCAAACGTCAACCATCAGTGTCGACCAGCGACGTGTCTGTTACGTCATTATGAACCGACAATTCCCAATGACCGCTGGCTTCATCGGGATTATTCAAAGACAATATACCATTTCATTTATTAGGATCATAATTTAGAGTTACAAGCATTGGGAATGAGAAATGCACAAATAAATATTTCATCAATGATTCACGATCCTATCGACGTACGACGATCTTTTGGTTTTCAAAAATAAAAAAATCGAAGAGTGCTCTTTTAATTCCTTTGCATTTTTGGTTACAACTACGCAGTACGGACGCATTGTATTGTTACATTGTTTTACAATGTTGCCTTTTGTGTTGTAAAACTTAGATGTATTCATTGAACGCCAATAATGTTTATGATGTAGATACATTATGATTAATGGTATTTAGTGGGTAATTACCATTGTGTCATATCTATCTAGTAACATCGTACGCGATTAAAACTAAGTACACTTGCTGTTCTAAATTACCTTTAAAACCTTGATACATAGTATGTCTTATGAATCAAATAAATAATGTTTTTAAGTATGACTTATTGTTTTTTATTTTCTGCATATTACCAGCTTGAGTGTTAGAGATTGAACAAAAAAAAATCGATACGTCGGCGCAAAAACTCGCGTTAAACTACCCACATTAAAATTGAGTAGTTTTAGTCTAAATAGGGTTGTCCGATGTGGGACCACAGGAGCGATCGCATCTTGATTAATGTAAAAAGCAAATAAACTACTTCTTAAAGGTACCCAAGTTTGTTTTTCTAATTCGTCATGCATGAGCGAACTACTGACATTAGCGACTAGTGAACTAGTAACGTCAACAACACTGACGTCACGCTTTTTAATAAGGACCAGTGTGCTTAGTGCGAGTTTTCTAACGTTCTCTATCGCGTAAAAGTTAACTCAAATTTGTATGGAGTTTGAACGTTTGCCTACGATGGAGAACAATAATAAAACTCGTACTAATCACACTGGGCGTCTTTACTTCATCAGAGATAATTTAATTATTTTTTTTACACCATGAATTTTTATACAATATCGAAGAAATAAGAAACAACAGCGAAAGTTACGCTAAGTATTTGATAAGTGCATATAACAAATGTCCATATATGAGGACGTCAGCGCAAAAGTGGCCTAAGCTTACCATAGTAAGTATCGAGATAAAAAGGTCTGAATTTACTTTTACACTGCTTCGTAGGCAAAGAGAACACGCGCTAAAATAATGTTTACTAAGCCATTTGTTATCTATGGACGAAACTAGGGATAGGCCTGTTTCCCATAAAAAAATATAATGTTTTAAATAAATTGCAATATACCTACATATAAGCACGAATATGAAAATTGTGCAAAATATGAAAAATATGAAAAGTGTTAGGTCACTTTTGCGCTGACGGCCTCATATATAACAATAAATATAAAGCAAAATGTAATAATCTATAAATACTCGCAGAAAATAAATCAATCACAACATCATTTAACAACGTTAAATCGAATATGTTTTGGAAACTATTCAACAATTTTACGCGTTAGGCTGATGCCGCTTTTTTGCCAATCTGTCTGCCAGCTGCCTTAAGGGGTTATTCTGGCGTCACCGTGATTGCTCATGGTATAAGAGAAGTTACTAAATTCTGTACTAGCAAGAGCAACGCTTCGCTGAATCTACCACCGGATCCGAATCACGGGTATCGGCGGGTACTGAGAAGATCCGGTGAGTAGCTCAGTGGGCTAGATAAGTGGGTTATCGAGCCACCTTCTAAGAAACGTTCTGATACTTTCTACAGACACTTCTCGATCTCATCTAAGTCATCATGAAGATGCGTTCTAAAAGCACATCCCTAACCCCTCTCGTACCTACACACAACACCAGAGAAATCTATGTACTTTTTTTTAATTCAAAATTGAATTTCACAATGCTACTTACTACAACACTGATTTATTATTTTAACACAAACACTTTTAATTTATTTTACAACACAACAATTTATTGAAATTTTTAATGTTGTTTTCCTTGTTCTGTATCAACGAATATACCTACTGTTGTTGGCCTATCATTAGATTCTTAAGTGTACATAAAAACTCTTGTCAAGCCATAGTTTGACTTTTTTATTACTTAAACACCTTCGCTTATCGCGTTCCCGCCAAAAATTCCTTCAGTCTTTCAGTGTGACATATTCTACAATTTTTTTTCATTCGTTCCCTAAAATGCCAAGGGTTCCTAAATTAAACTTCACGGTATACGTACATAGTGCCATACGTATATACTATACAATTTTGATGGTTCGCTAACGGAAAAGCAACTTCATCTCTCGTAATATTATTATGTCGCAATCCGATAAGTCATAGCACAAATCTATTGATAGATTTACGACTGTTTTTCCGCCTGCAGCTTCGCTCGCGTGGAATGTGCTTTGTATCGCATGCGCAGAAACACCCATAATCAGCAGTGAGATAAAAGATAGTCTCAATTCTTCTACGGGCTCTAACTTTTTCCATAGCGAATTTCGTCAAAATGGTTTGAGAACATAACTTAAAGATAGAGTCATATTTGTATTAACATATAGATTGCGACTCCTTACATCTAAGCATAAAAAGTGCTTAAATTTCAAAAAGCTACAAAGACGAAAATCTTTTCTGGGTCGCCGCATTTTAATCAGACAAATCCTATGTTTTTAGGATTCTTGTGAAATGTTTATGAAAATTCGTTCAGCAATTCCCGGATACGTTTGCGAACAAGTAGGTAAACGGAAAGACAGACAAAAATCATTTTATAAAACGCTTATTTTACTTGTCTTTAATTACAGAGTCTATTGTTTAAAGAACTAAAGAATTAGTTTAATATACTCATTGAAAATTTAGACCGTTTAACAAAAGTAATAAAATTAAATTATCTATCGGCTGGCTTATTTATTCCGCATATTAGGCCAATTTAACAAAATTATTGTATTGTCATCGTTATTTGTAATAAGTGTGCAAAATTTCTAGCAAATCAACGCTTTGAAGTTGTTGAGAATGACCTTGAAAGACTGTGGAAGTAATCGACAAAGGGAAAATCTTTCACCGAACGGGTGAAGTTACTCAGTAGATCGATTAAGTACTAATGTTATTCGGAACTTGTACATACACGCAAACTTCTCTTGAAAATGTCTAGCGAGATTCAGGCATCTGTCTATCAGTCTTGTTTTCAAATATACCTACCGTCTTAAGATTCACGCAAGATGCCAACATGATTATCTATATATTAATACGTGAAACTGAAAAAACTTGTACCCCTTTTTACGAAAATTGCGCGGACGAAGGAGAATAAAATTTCCCACACTTATAGTGAATATAGAGAAGAAGTGCAGAATGCTATTATTTTATTTAAATTATGCATTAAAAATACATTAAATCAATAAAAAAAAAACATTACACACAGTACCATGTATTTGACACAACTCATAGACGCATACTTAGGTATATTTAGACTTTATGTTTATTGTCAATTGTCAAACTTTTGTTAATGTTTAAAGTCTGTGGTCAAATTGAGAATAGATTAATAATATTATTTGTCTATAGTGTAGCCTTAGCGAAATCTGTGATTATATTATTATGTAGAAGTATAATAGTATTTGACAATAGAACCATATTAATGTTCAAACTTATAATATAATTTCAAATAATAATATTCGAATTTCGGCTACTACCAGACCACTATAGTCATATTTTATTACATAGCATTATTCCTGCGCCTTGACGAAACCCGCGGATACGTATTAGATAGTTTTTTTTTCTACCTATTCGCTGGTAGCATATAGAGGCTATTTAAGCTACGCGCAAACGGATAGGTGAGCTCACGGGCTCAACCTGAGAGAATTTGCTAACACTAGCCCTAACCCATAACAAGAGCGAGATAGATTAATATCCCGGTTTGACCACATTACTCTACGAATACATGTCTAACAATATTTTACAAGCGTCTACTATTTTAGTCAATAAAGAGACTAGTATTAAAAGAACCGACCTAAGAAGTAATAAACAAACAATAAGCCTTTGCGTGTTCGAAATCTTATTTTATCATCGATCAAATAAATTCTAAAGTCAAGGTTACGAGGCATTGTTGTTTGAATACTTTACGTGATTTTACAATGATACGATATTATGTGCACAAATGTTGTTTAGTTCTTAAAAACGTTGTCATCAATAAAATATATCATCACCTACACTAAATATGTACCGGTATAAAACATAGGTAAAACCGGTATAAAACTATATACTTTAGAGTACAACAGTAGTTTAGGTAAGAATTCATTAAAATATAACTACAACACTATAACGAAATTATTACAGTACAGCCTAACCTAAAAATGAAAAATTGGAGGGAATCAAAAATATTATTAATCTATGACAACATTCCTCTTTTTTATAAAAAAAAAGTCGTATGCAACCGGTATAATCTCATAATATGCTTTAAGTAAATAAGTACATTACAAAGAAAAAAAAGACCCAAAATGAAATCAATATATTTTAACAAGGACGCAAGTAAAATCAAAAACTATACCGGCCTTGCCAACAAACGTAATATACCTAACCAAACGATACACCGCGTCATGCGTTTTTCAAAACAATACGGGTATCTTTTTAACGGATTACAAAGTAGGAGGAGGTTCTCAATTCGACTGTATGTTTTTTTTATAAGTAAACTCATAATTTTTGACTTGGTGAATCGATTTTGATGATTTATTTATTTATTAGAAAGCTGACGCTTCCCTTGTGGTCCCATTTCAATTTAGTCCAGTTCTGATAATGGTATCCGTGAGAAAACCATATAAGTCTTAAATTTGCATTAAGTACGTGCTGACAAACAGATGAATAACTCAATAACTTTATATCACGCCAACCTATCTCGATGATTTTGATGTTTTTAGTGTGTATTACATAATTTGTTTTGGAATATCTTTTTTATTTATTTGAAGTCGGTTTTTGTTAAAGCATGTCTGTTTTACTGGTGTTAAGACTTCTTGTGAGTCCGCGCGGGTGGTTACCACCACCCTGCCTATTTCTACCGTGAAGCAGTAGGTAATGCGTTTCGGTTTGAAGGGTGGGGCAGCCGTTGTAACTATACTTGAGACCTTAGAACTTATATCTCAAGGTGGGTGGCGCATTTACGTTGTGGATGTCTATGGGCTCCAGTAACCACTTAACACCAGGTGGGCTGTGAGCTCGTNTTGAAGGGTGGGGCAGCCGTTGTAACTATACTTGAGACCTTAGAACTTATATCTCAAGGTGGGTGGCGCATTTCCGTTGTGGATGTCTATGGGCTCCAGTAACCACTTAACACCAGGTGGGCTGTGAGCTCGTCCACCCATATGAGCAATAAAAAAAATAAAAATAATAATATCACGCCGGAATATATAATAGTATCCCCAGAAAAGGGTGGAAGTCCGGCGATTTCCTCCTGACCAAAAAAAAAAAAAACCGATTTCGATGATTATTGTTTTTAGTGTGTATTAATTTGTTTTGGAATATCTTTTTTTCTATTTGAAGTCGGATATTTAGACAAAAGAAATACGCTCTAAGCTAGAATTAACTTCGCCGCAATTCCACTAACATCAAAGGTATATTTCCAAGAGATATGAGACCGTCACGTGCGTTTTGTTTGTTTAAGAACAAACACGTAACAATCTACGTTGAAATATATTTACGGTGAATCAAAACAGTATGAGTCAAACTTGATACGCAAAAAACGTATTTCGCGTTCCGGTGTATTTATTATGATCGGGTAGTGTTGTAGATGAATTTATCGATCTTCACAATCGCACCATGTTCATTGGCATACACTTACTGGTGGTAGGACCTCTTGGGAGTCCGCACGGCTACGTACCACCGCTGCACCGCCCCGCCTATTTCTCTCGTGAAGCAGTAACGCGTTTCGGTTTGAAGGGTGGGGCAGCCGTTGTAATTATATTTGAGATCTTAGAACTTATATCTCAAGGTGGGTGGCGCATTTACGTTGTAGATGTCTATGGGCTCCAGTAACCATTTAACACACCAGGTTGCCTGTGGCTCGTCCGCCCATTTAAGCAATAAAAAAAAAGAATCTACCACCGGATCGGAATCGCTACCTACTGAGAAGATCCGGTGAGAAATTCAGTGGATTGTGTTTATGGACTGGTTTGCTCGTCGTAATCGACGAGGACAATAGACAAACAATCAAAAATAGACCAAAAAACTATTTAGATCTTAAAATACTTTCCAAGGGCTCTGGAAATCGTAAACACAATTCTTTACACGTGCGTTTTATCTCTCGCTTATCTAAGCTTAGATTTGTTGTATTTGATTGTATCTTTCAGATTCACATGATAAGTCCAGAGCAGTGATTCTCAATTACTTTTTGTTTGTTACAGTCCACTTAACGATTTCAATCCACGACCGCGCCACAAATAATAGTATACGCTTAAATTTTTTTTGCTTATCTACAATATTACAGCGGCGGCAGCGGCTTTCGAATAAGTACGAGTTTATATTACTATAATCATAAGAAATCGATTTTTAAAAAGTTCAGAAGTAATATATTACATATACTAGCTGATCCGGCAGACTTCTTAGTGCCTCAATCGATAAATAAAAGTCTTTTTGTATAAAATAAACTTAAAACAAACAAAAGGTATCCGTCCGACGGGGGACACATCAAAGTTTAAACAAAATTGTTATTTTTATTTAATTCCGAGCATTTTCATATTTATCTACCTTTTAAACGTTCTCTGGACTTCCACAAATAATTCAAGACCAAAATTAGCCAAATCGGTCCAGCCGTTTTCGAGTTTTAGCGAGACTAACGAACAGCTATTCATTTTTATATAGATAAAGAAAAACTAATTTCCTTCAGAATGTCCTCTTTTTTTAATGAATCAGCCACATAATAGTAACAATAGTTTTTCTGGTGGTGGTGGACGTCTTGTGAGACCGCACGGGTAGGTACCACCGCCCTGTCTATTTCTGCCGTGAAGCAGTTCGGTTTGAAGGATGGAGCAGCCGTTGTAACTATACTGAGACCTTAGAACTCATATCTCAAGGTGGGTGGCGGTATTTACGGATCGGAAACGCGACCCACTGAGAAGGTCTGGCGAGAATCTCAGTGGGCTGTGTCTGTACGCTGCAAGCACGCATGTTTGGATATGACCATACCATTTCTGCCCCAAAGCAATCTGTTCATACCATTTCTGCCCCAAAGCAATCCGTTCCGATTTAGAAAGTAAACTAGCTGACAAACACTTACCCTCACTTCACTAACGCATCTCAAGTTGAACAATGACGGCGGGATTTAGATAAAAAATATTTCGTAATCACATATCAGCAACTTTATCTCGAGTGAATGAATTTAGTCATAAATAAACACAAACGGAGTACGCGTTGGGAAACGATTGCGATAGGCGGGCTGTGTTATAGAGAATGGACGATTTAAAAGGCCCATATTCATTCTACGTGATTAGGCTCGAAGGATAAAACAAGCGTGGGGCTATATATTTTTTGCCTACCTATGCTGATATTGATTACCGGGGCTACTTTCACACTTCCTCTGATATACTCATTCTTTATCTTGTCTATTCTTGTCACTCCACACATCCATCTCAACATTCGCATCTCTTTTTATTTTATTTTTTATTTTTTATTGCTTAGATGGGTGCACGAGCTCACAGTCCACCTGGTGTTAAGTGATTACTGGAGCCCATAGACATCTACAACGTAAATGCGCCACCCACCTTGAGATATAAGTTCTAAGATCTCAGTATAGTAACAACGGCTGCCCCACCCTTCAAACCGTAACGCATCACTGCTTCACGGCAGAAATAGGCAGGGCGGTGGTACCTACCCGCGCGGACTCTCAAGAGGTCCTACCACCAGTAATTACGCAAATTATAATTTTGCGGGTTTCACTTTTATTACACGATGTTATTCCTTCACCGTGGAAGTCAATCGTGAACATTTGTTGAGTACGTAATTCATTAGAAAAATTGGTAGCCGCCTGGGATTCGAACACAGGTGCATCGCTCAACACGAATGCACCGGACGTCTTATCTCTTAGGCCACGACGACTTCAAAATCTCTGCCGCGTGCACTCCTCTTTCATGCTTTACTTTCGTCGCCCAACATTCAGATCCATACAGGTCCCACAGTTTCCAGTTATTAGTATTATTTATTTAATAATTAAAACCACTAGTCACCCTCCAATCTTCGACTACCTTCAATGACATGAAAATCGGCAAATTTTAGCGAAAACTGGGTTACGTTATTTTTAAATAAATCGATCAATCGACGTGAGAACGAAATGGAGCATCCACTGTCACGACACGAGCGAAAAAGACAACAGGACAATGTCCGTGGCAACAACACCTTGTAACGCAGAGTTGATGTGTCCATAACTATGACAGTAAATACTCTAGAAGCAGTATTAAAATAAGAACTAAATATTATAATTATTAGCATAATTAAAATTTATTTTACGTGATTTTGATAGCGCGTTTTTGTATTATTTAGATTTTCCAATGTATTTTTTGTGGACGAGCTCACGGCTGACCTGATGTTAAGTACCTAACGGAGCCCATAGACTTGTGTCTTTGAACATGCTTTCATCAGCTCGGTATGTATCTGTAAGGGAATCTTTGGACGTCATTATCACAAACTTTTTGCCCCTACCTATTCGCTGGTAACCCAAGGGGCCATTCCGGCTTCTCACGGATGGTAAGGTGAGCTCACGGGCTCAACCTGAGAGAATTTGCTAATATTAGCCCTGGCATTAGCAGTGCTCCGCTGAATCTACCACCGGATCGGAATCGCGACTAATTGAGAAGACCCGGCGAGAAACTCAGTGGGTTGTGTCAATGGCAATCTTCACCGATTTCCAGACGTCCTATTAACTTGACAGTTCGCTCACGCGTCAAGGATCGTTAACGATACAATAATATTAAACTTCACTCTAACAACATGACCGGTATTAACAGGATAACGAAAGAAAATATATGAAACTAATTGTTAGTTCGGTTTCATAGTTAAACGTGTTTTAATAGTATATAAAACTACATAATTACATTACATTAATTTTGTGTTTTTCACGGTTCTAAAAACACATCAACGATTCAATATAAAAAAAACTTCGACTACGATCTTCTTATGTTACGGAAGTAGATAAAGAAATTAGGAGTCATATTTTCGATTAGTAACTAGACTTATCAAGACCATGGTTGGCTGGAGACAGAATTACGGACCCAAAGCACCTTTAGAATTGAAGTGGTCGAACGATTTTTTTTTTCCATTATTTAGATGGGTAGACGAGCTTACAGCTCACTTGGTGTTAAGTAGTTACTGGAGCCCATAGACATCTTCAACGTAAATGCGCTACCCACCTTGAGATATAAGTTGTAAGGTCTCAGTATAGTCAACGGCTGCCCCACCCTTAAAATCGAAACGCGTTACTGCTTCACGGCAGAAATACGCGGAGCGGTGGTACATACCGGGCCGGTTCAAAAGACGCGTTACCTACCAGTGACATTATTAAAACAGTATTATTTGTTTCACATTTAAAACCTACCGCGCGGACTCACAAGAGGTCGTACCACCAGTAATAACGCAAATTATAATTGTATACTTTGAACGACTTGTAAACATATAAGTATTCTATCAGTTTAAAAAAATAAACAGTATATTTTAGTCTAGAAAAGGACAAACGTACTCTTTCCCTCAAATCAAGCGGCATACCTTAATGCATTAAAATCGAAAAACTACAAAATTACAATTTTTTGATTATATTTTTGGTGTTTACAAAAAAAAAAAAGAATTTTGGATTAAGCCACTTTAATTCTAAAGGAGCGACAATAACAACTTCCATTATATACCTTAATTTGAGAGGGCACGCTAAGAAAAACTCCAATCATACAAACACAATGAACAACAAACGATTTCTCTGTAAAGTAAATAAATAATTCATAATTCCAAAACCATTTCAGTCACGACAAGAAAAATATACGCTATTCTATTGTACTTTAACATTATAATTCCAGATAATATGTAAATTACGTTATCCCGCAATTTTGCAAAGATTTCGCGCGTAAAACGCCAAGTTGCCAGATTTGGAAAAAACTACCTAATTAGTGGTAAAAAATAATAATTAAACAAGTTATAATTTAATAAAATATTTTATATTATATTATATTTAATTAAATATTAACCAGATGTCGCTCTATACGAATGCACCGGACGTCTTATCCTTTAGGCCCCGACGACTTCAGAAAACAAATATAAAACTGGTGCTCACTCTGGTCTTTTCCATTTTTCTATACGGAGCGGAGACCTGGACCCTTAAAGCGGTTGATCGCAAACGCGTGGATGCTTTTGAGATGTGGTGCTGGAGAAGAATGCTCCGGATACCTTGGACAGCAAAGAGAAGCAATCTGTCTATCTTAGACCAACTGCAGTTCAAGACTAGACTGTCCACATTCTGCCTTCGCCGCGCACACGAATACTTCGGTTATATTGCTCGGAAAAAACCGGATAGCTTAGAGAGAGTATTCGTGACAGGGAAGATCGTGGGAAAGAGACCGCGCGGGCGCAGTCCGCCAAGGTGGTTCGACCAAATCCGCACCACACTAGAGATCCCATTCCACGACACCCTTCATGCGGCCAATGATCGGAGGCGCTGGCGGGACATTACAAGGAGCAAAATCCAGTCGACATATAATGGTCACGACCCTCAGCAGTGAGGTAGCGACGCGAGGAGGAGGGGTGGACGAGCTCACAGCCCACCTGGTGTTACTTGGTTACTGGAGCCCATAGACATCTACAACGTAAATGCGCCACCCATTTTGAGATATAAGTTCTAAGATCTCAGTATAGTTACAACTTACAACGCCTGCCCCACCGTTCAAACCGAAACGCATTACTGCTTCGTGGATTTAACGAAACCAGTGCTATTAAAACTATGCTTTTTTAAACGCATTTAAATACCCTTGTAGGAAAAATGAGAATATTATTCGATACCTTTTTCCTTATATATATATGGTCTTAATTTGGCGCGTCAATTCATAATATTTGGTTTCTCTTTCCTGTGCGATGAAAAACCACTGACATAGGATTTTAATATCGAGAGTTAAAAAAAAAACGGTAAATAATCTCACTTCACAAGTCACGTTTGGCTTTAATTATTTATTTATGTCAAAGGTTAATAAAGCTAAGGCTGTGCTCAGTGAATCAAAAGGGAAAGGTATAATTGACAAGAATACATGGTGGTGGAATGAGAATGTACAAAGGGAATTGAAAGAAAAGAAGAATGCATTCAAAAAGTGGCAACTAGAAAGAGGAAATGAATGTGAGAGGCAAGCTAGGAAGAATGAGTATAGAGAATGTAAGGAAAAGGCCACTAAAGCGGTTGCTATAGCCAGGTCTGAGCTCAGAAACAGTTGTATGCCGCTTTAGATGGACTTCGTGGACAAAAGGAAGTTTACCGTATCACGAGAGCTAGAGAAGAAAGAGCGAAAGATAATAAGCATGTCAAATGTATGAAAAATGAGACAGGTAAAGTTCTAATGAAAGATGACGAAATAAAAGAGCGCTGGAAGATATATTTTGAAAAATTAATGAATGAAGAGAATGACTGGAATAGGGTGATTAATAGGAAGCCAGAGAACGTCAGACTTGTGAATGAGATCAGTATGTATGAAGTTAGAGAAGCAGTGAGAAGTATGAAAAGCTGAAAATCGGAAGGACCAGACGGTATACCAGTGGAAGTATGGAAGATATTGGGAGAAGACGGATATAAGTGGCTGACTTTATTCTTCAATAAGCTGCTGCAAGAAGAAGTGATCCCTACGGAATGGTGCACCAGTGCACTGGTGCCCATATACAAAAATAAAGGGGATGTGCAAGACTGTGGCAGCTATCGTGGAATAAAGCTTATGTCACATAGTATGAAAGTTTGGGAGAAAGTGATAGAAAAGCGATTGCGAGATGAAAGTGAGATCACCCAAAACCAGTTCGGGTTCATGCCTGGTCGCGGGACAACGGACGCCACATTTGCACTCCGCCAAATGTGCGAAAAATATCGCGACGTGCCCAGGAATCTGCATATGGTGTTCGTTGATCTGGAAAAAGCGTACGACCGAGTACCTAAAGCAGTTTTGTGGTGAGCATTGAATGAGAAAGGTATATCAGGTAAGTATGTGATGTTAATCTGTGCCATGTACAGTCGAGCCAGGACGTATGTATGAACCGCCGCAGGGAATTCCGACGAGTTCAATGTGGCAGTGGGCTTACACCAAGGGTCTGCGCTAAGTCCCTATCTTTTCCTGCTAGTGATGGATGCCTTGACATCGGAGATACAGGAAGAACCCCCTTGGTGTATGCTGTTTACCGATGACATAGTGCTCGTCAGAGAAAACGGGCTCGAGGTCCAAAACATACTATAGAAATGGCGATGCAGGTTGGAGAGTGTTGGCCTAAAAATCAGCAGATCGAAAATCGAACATCTGTTCTGTGATTTTGGCGGTCTCTCCAATTTTACACCCATTGCTCTCGACGGAGCACCTTTGCCAGTATGTCAAGACTTCCGATACCTAGGGTCTGTTATCCAAAGTGACGGTGAACTGGATCGTACTGTGAGGCACAGAATTGACGCAGGATGGATGAAATGGCGGCAGGTCACGGGCCGTATCCCCGTATATGTATCGTAATCCCCGTTGCGGCGCCGGTGCCGGAGAGCGGGGGCAGCGGTGAAGGGGAGGGGGCGATGGATGTGGTCCAACAGTAATGGACCGCACCTATCGCTTCCTCCAAGGAAACCTGAACCACTCCGCCAGAGCTCAGGACATGCTGTCTCAGAGCATGGCGGAGTGGTCCATAGATGTGGCTGTGGTCGCCGAGCCGTACTTCGTTCCCCCGGCAAATGATTGCTGGTTTGGGGACGATGGCGGCCTGGCGGCCATAGTCATAAGAAGAGACGCGGCGATCCCCCCCCTGGCGATGGTGACCAGGGGCCAAGGGTTCGTCGCGGTGCAGTTGGAAGGGACCGTCGTGATCGGGGCGTACTTCTCTCCGAACAGGCCTACCGTCGAGTTCGGGCATTTCCTGGACGGGATCGGGGCGATTGCTCGCCGC